TAACTGTTGTCTTGGAAGGCTGGATACACTGATTAAAACACATCGAGTCTTTTCAGTTTTGACTCTTAAATACCCTTGAATTGTTTTATAAATCTGACTGTTAGCTTAAAAAAGAAAGCTAAACTGCTGTGACTTAATAGGTACAAAAACTTGCTTGCTAGGAACTTCCAAATATATTGGGGATACCAGTCACTGTGTGCTACCTGAAACCCTTAGGTATAAAATTAAGTGGCTATGAAATACTCTGTTAAGCTTAGATATTTAGGTTTTCTTTGATTGTTTTGTTTAAGACTGTATACTTGTCATTTTCCTGCCTGCGTCATTTGGAATAATTGTGGTTTATATGTAATGTAAATAGTATGATGGAAACTTATCTTGGATTCCGTTGGTTTTGCATCCCTGATGGCCTGCGCTTTCCCCAGTTGCTCTTCTAATGCTCTCTTCAGCTTCTCAGATTTTTGAGTGGGTTGTTTGATATGCAGGCTGCAGAATAGAATGTTAACAGTAAACCAAAATATTATTTGGAGATTACACAGATAAATTCCACTCACATATTTCTGGTAGAGATGTTCCTAAAGTTGCAACAGTTGCATCTTCATACTTGTATTGCCAGAAGATACTACTTGAATAGTATTTAATAATATTTTCTTCAATTAATTTAAAATGTGTTTCTTTTTTTGTATCTTTTCATCATTTAAATAAGCCTTCTGGTCATGTTGTTGCCTGTAACCCATGATTCCTTATGCTCTCAAGAGTGATGGTGTGTTTTGTTGTGGAATAAATTTTTTTGCTTGAACAAATTCTAAGCAAACTGCAGTTCTGTGTCTGTAGAGTGTCCTGACTACAGAGCTTACTTTAATAGACTTTCAGGGATTACTTCTGTTTCTTTCAGGTTTTTCCCCAAAGTTAAATACTGTCTTTCCAGTCATGTAGCATTTATTGGCTTGTGATGTACTTATCTGTGGAACCTATAGGTTGTGCTTGTAATAAACATGAAGAGAACCTGTTCCCTCAAAGCTTTAATGTTCCTGGGCCAAGATCTCACATGTAACCAAGTGAGTGTTAGCTCAGACATCAGAAGTGTACAGGCTTGACAGCTAGACACCAGCTGATCCAACTTTTGGAAGGATGTTTATGTTGTGGCTTCTAACATACTGAAGGTTGAACGTCAGTTCTGAAGGTTAATGTAGAAGAAATGCTATTGCATTAAGAAATCATGGAGTTATGTGGGCAACCCCCTACCCCAGAAAATGTATTACTGAACAACAACAAACTTATTTGCTCAATTTAGCTTCTTGTTGAGAGTATTTATTTCTGGCAGCAAGAGTGTCGTATTTGGAATGATTCAGTTGGTTCAGAGAGTTACTTTCTTCAGTAAACATTGCAGTTTAGTATAGCGTACGTGTGTTTGTCAGTATGTTCTAATCACAGGGGATATTTACCTAGTATATTTGGCGCTCTCCGACTGATTCTTGCAAGTGTTCTGAAGTTCTTATTCTGAGTCCTGTTCAGTCCTCGGAGTTGGGTACTTGTTATTTTGTTGGCAGCCAGGAGCGGAGCAGAACTTCATTCTGATGTTCTCAATCTTCTCCTTAATTACAGAAAAGTAATACAGCTTTGTGGATGAGTAGAAAAGTTTCTCAGGATTTTTCTGTTTCTTTAATTCTTTCTATACATTCATCTAATGCCAAGGAAGAAATTACGAGACAACTCAAACTTTTTTGAGCTGATAAAGTTGCAAATAGTTTCCCTCCTTTTTGAACTGCTTGAGGAAATCACAAATTGTCTACTGTTGAAGGTAAGTAGTAAAACTTGAAAGGACATGTCTTTTGGCAGTGTCAACTGAAACTAAGGGCATTCAAGTTTTCTTTATTAGGCAGCTTATGGGACTCAAAGCGACTATATTTTGTCAAAACAAACAGCAATGGAGGTGTTATGCAATGCCAGAAATACGTGTCAGTCTGTTTATGCAGCAGCAATAGAAATTCCTGCGTGCATTGTTCTTTTTTGGGTCATCTGACAGTGTGATGGTTCACATCATAATTATGATATATTTGTGCTACAATTTATAGTCATACAGAAGTATGCAGTGCCGTAGAACTGTAGGTACTATAATCCACTCGAAGAGTGAATAGACTTCCTTTCAAATATACAGCTGTTTTTCAGAAGATAAAGATAAGAATATGATGCGATTTTAAGTTGAGAAAGGATGACGAAACAGTGTCTGGTAGTCTTTACTACTTTCTTCATCCTGTTCTGAAGACTTGAGGTAGAGACTGGAAAAATACAGAAAGTCCCATGTCAGTCCAGTGTCCTTAGGAGAATTGTGTAATGTTGATACTTACAAATTTTGATGTTGGCATTTTGAGGTTTTTTTTTTAAATTATTTTGAAAAGGGCAAAAACACCATCAAGAAAATAAGTTCATATCAAGCTCTTTTTGCAAATAGTTTGAGTGTATTAGTACTTCTAGTAGTTTCAGTAGTACTTAATTATCAAATTCATAAAGATAAGTAGGGAAGGGCTGTGAAGAACTACAACTTTAAAACCACATTCTGGTTTACCTAAGCTTGTGTCAGAGCAAAAGGGATGGGTGCCATCAATTGCCTGGGTGTCTTGGAAGCTCCCACAGGTGGGATATTGAAAGCACAGGAAAAGTTTGGACATGGAGTGTTCTGCAGGGGAAGTTCATTGTAGAGACAATTTTTCTGTCAGCTTCTGTGAAGCCTGAAATAGGTGTGTGGTTTTTTTTGGTGTTTTTTTTTTTTTTTTTTGTTTCTTGATTTACCTTGCACTCAGGAACATTTTGTAGTTTTTGTGTGTTTAAAAGTTCCAGTGGCTATGTTTACAGAGCAGGTTGTTTTAATAATGTATTTCCAGGGATTTTCACTTGAAAATAATATGCCAGGTTTTTTTTAAGGATGCAGATGAAATGCTGCAGTGAAATATTTATGTGAATCTAATTATTAAGTATGTTAAAGAAATCAAATAGGTTTTTTTAGTAATTGAGAAAGTGATTTGCTGATTAACTAGGGGGGACTATACTGAATCTTTTTTCCAAGGAGCAGGCTTTTATTTAGGAAGCAGGATTGTGGAGATGGCTTCTGCATCTGTGATGGTGGTATTACTGTCCTTTTCATAGCAACCTTTAAAAGCCTAGTACATTAGCAATTCCAAAGGAGTTCACATGTTGCACACCAGTATTTTTTGTCTTTTCAGTTACATATATGTTTTAGAATGAAGTTTACCAAATTGATCTTGGAATTTGCAGACTGTGTCTTTTGACTATGTCTGCTTTTTTTATCTGCGTGTTAGAATATGCAGATGTGCTAGTATAACTGGTCGATGTGTCCTTTTGTTTTTAAGCAATTACTTTCTGTCCCTTTGAATTTTACTGCAAAACAGCTCCATCTTAAGCTTTTACTTGATTTACAGCTGCTGTCTATTAAGCAGTACATCTTGCAGAGCCTGGAAAATTTAGAGAAGCAGCATTTGTGCACACAGTGTGTTTCCAGAGTATGTTGTTCTTAGCTGCACATTTGTCTTGTTCATCTTGTCTTGATCATTGCCAGCTCAGCTCTACTAATTTACTGTTTATTAGACATGACTCTTGTTTATTAGCATTTTTTATTTTAGACAATGGAGAAGGCTAATTTATTTACTAATGTTTCAATGTTTTCTTATACAAGTGCTTCTGAAGTGTTCGCTGGCCATTGGAGTGACCGATGTGTATTTATTTTTGCATCCTAAGTTGCATTGGTGACACGAGGGGTGGTTTTTCCCCATTTCCTACAAAGCCCTCTTCTAAAGTATGGACTTGTTCATGTTCGTGCTTACTGTTAATAATAATTTCTAATGTGGTTCAGGTTACAACTTAAATTTTGTCAGAGTAAGTAGATAGATAAAGTTAGGCTCAGTACTTGCTTATAAATGCGAGGTATAGTTGTGTCTTTTATTCTGTCCAGAGTACGCTCACTGAATTGATAGAAAGTTTAAATGTCTTTTATACTAAGTATTTTTAGTGAGGCTGTTGACAGACTGGAAATAGTTTAGAATGTAGTGGCTCTTTCAGATACTGAGTTGAGTACAGTTGTGTCTCCCTGACAGAAACCCAGAAACTTAGAAATATATTCTTTAAATTTGACTAAGGTCAGTATTCAAAAAATATTCAAATAAACATGCAGGAACTGCTGTGAGTTAGCTTGAGTGAATTAGCTGTTCCCTGGTGTGTTTTCCCTCTGTGTACCGTTTCACTCTGGTTCAGTTTTGTTTGGTGAAAGCTTTATTGAATTTGAAGGGAAAAGCCTTTTGCGGGCTTTTGAGCCCAAGGGCTCAGCTTCGGGAAAATTTTTATTCTAATCCTCCAAGACTTAGAACAGGACTGTGGGGAAAGGGCTGTTTCAGTTCTGTTCTGCGAGATTTGGAAGTAGGTATAAATGAAATCCCTGTATGTAGCTGAAGTAGATAAATACCAGAAAAGGTTTGAGTCCTCCAGTGGTGAAGTTTCAAGGATGTTCTATTACTATGAAGAAGTAACCTCTGTATTGGCAGATGCCAGGGTTATGCGTCGTCTCTCACAATTAAATACTGACTTGAAATTTGTCATGTTTTGCTGGGTTCTGTTTTTGCTTAGTGCTCTGTTTTTTCATGTCTTCCTCAGCAGCCATCTAAAAAAACCCAAACAACTTTTTGAAACAATAACAAAGTGCATTACAAATACGTTTTTCCCTCTGCTTACCAGGGATACCCCAATTTAGTTAATTGCCTTGGAGACAAATGAGTTCTCAAAAGTACTGGTCAGGCATCTTTTATCTCTACATTTGACAATGTAACGGTTTTAAGTGTTTGAATTTAAGCCTGCTTAGCATGACTAGTACAAATGTATTGGCCTTAGACATCTGAACTGAATACTTCAAGAAATCATGTCAAGGGTTTGTATGAATCTACTCTCACTGTATCCCAATATTTGATATGCTTATATTTCTGTCTGGTTTATTTCAGGAATTTGCAGCACTTACGAAAGAGCTAAATGTATGCAGGGAGCAGCTCCTTGAAAGGGAAGAAGAAATCGCTGAACTGAAAGCAGAAAGAAATAATACAAGGGTTAGTTCCTTGTCTTCTCCAAGATTACCATTACTAAAGCATCCAACTACATGGAGAAAAACGTTGAATGTTGAATTTGAAAAGCTAAAAGTATTTTTTTTTCCCTGATGTTTGCACATGAATCCCCCTGGGAGTGCGAATGTGTGTTGATTAAGAAAGTTTGGAAGCTTATGCACAGCTCCAAATACTGCTGTTCAGAATCAGGAACAGCTTGTAAGACTGCACTGCTATCTGTCATTCAGCTTTCTTGTCGTTAAGAGTTTTGTAATAATACAACACCCGAGATCAGAGGAATAGAGTGGGCAAGCTGTATTGATCTGTTCCAGCAGCTTATGCTGCTGCCAGCAGAACAGTTGCTCTTCACTTCAGAGCATTGCCTATGTGTATGCTTCTGACAAGTGTGCAGTTCCTCAGGTTGGTGGTGGAAGCAAAAAGACCTGGTTAAGTAGAAACCTCATTTAAAACTAGACTGAAAGAGAGAAGTAGGAAATGTGTTAGCTGTGATATAACTTCTAACATGGGTGAAATGCTAAAAACAGGTCTTTCTGCTTTGATGCAATAGTCTTTGTCTCTCAGATTTGAAGCTTAGAACCCAAAACTTGATGGTTTAGGACTCAAAGTTTTCTGCAGCTATGCAGAACAGGAATAAACATTGTTCATGCTTTTTTTTTTTTTTCCTCTTTGTTTTAGCTATTACTGGAACATTTGGAGTGTCTTGTTTCCAGGCATGAGCGATCTCTCAGAATGACTGTTGTAAAGAGACAAGCTCAGTCTCCAGCAGGAGTTTCTAGTGAAGTAGAAGTTCTCAAAGCACTAAAATCTTTATTTGAGCACCATAAAGCCCTTGATGAAAAGGTAATGAAATATGGCAGCTAACATAATCTCATCGAGTTCCCTCTTTCTTTTGTATGGATCATGCAGTTGTTAGTACTGAAGTTGTAGAAGTCAGGTTCTCTGAACTTTTCCCTGTATTAAGTTAGTGTCTTTGCAGTAACTGCATCAGTAACTGCCCTCCTAAATCAATATGCTGCACTGAAGCAAGGTGCTGTAGTTTATTCTAGTACTTCATTAACTGTGCTA